GGCTACTGCTATTTTTGCATCTAAATGAATGGGAAATAGTGAAACTTTAAGGTAATTTTTCTCGAAAATTTTCTTATGTAGCTAATATTAATTTTAACTGTACTAAATTGAGAAAAAATCCTCTTTCATATTCTGCTAATATTATTCCGTAATAAAAATGGGGGCTGTTATTTGAAAAAATATCGAAATAACGATATTTGCCATCAAAAATGGCAGAAAAAATGTGTACCACAAACCTGTACCAAAAAATTGCAAAAAATTTAAATCTTTAGACACGTCTCAACGATTTTTCCAAAAACTGTTTTTAATTATTGTTTTAACGAATTTATCCGTTACTTTTGCAAAACACTGTATAAAGAAGAAGCCAACAACATACTTTCAGAACCCAGAGTAAATGAAACTCGCATTGCCAAACGGTCCGAACATCATCTAAGGATGTTTTAAATGTAAGTAAAGTACCGGTTACTGTTTGTAGTATGCTATTAAAATACGTATATGTATTATTGAGTAATCTAAAGAAATACATACACAAGGCCATCTAATTCATCATCAGAGTATTTTGAATTACTTCTTAGATAATTAAATTAAAATTTAAAATAATTTAAAATTAATAATTATATTGACGTGAATACCAGTGACACCAGCGCAAACGGTTTCATCCTCTTGAGTCATCTTCGACATTCGACAATCAACCCTTTAAAATGCCTCAATTAAGTTCAATCTGCTACCCATTAATACCTCTAAAAAAGTCATTGTTCATGACTTACAATTTCTCTCTAGCACCATCCATTTTCATGTCCCTATGGGGGTTTCTATATCTGCAATGCCAACAATGCTCCTTAACACTTTGTTTTGGTATTGTTGGAATATGGGTATGTCCGTTCAGATTTGGTAATTTGGTTGTACAAAAATACTTCCCCTTTCTAAAAGGAACCAACAGAAAGAACGGATGAAACCTCGGATCGACCACAACACACAGACTTCTCCATCTCTGAAGCACTGAGCATTACCAAAAATACTTTGTTATGTATTGACACATTGGAATTTAGTCCAAGCAACCAATGCAATTCTAAAACTTTATGACCAATTCTTTTTCTTATTTTTGACTTACGCTTTCCAGCTCAGTTTAGCGTCTAGTGTTATTCCCTGATATTTTATTGTATCGACAGATGGCACTTGGTTATCGTTTATGCTGACAGGAATTAATATGGGCAGATTAAACTTCGTTTAACTTGATTCTCCATTGCTTGGTCCAGTTGCTAAGTTTGTTAACTGATCTTTCCCCACAGCCATTATAATGTCATTGATAAAAGTGGTAAAAGTATTCGTGAATATCACTGGTATTAAGTATATAGAGGACTAGCCCTAGGCCTGGTGATACTCTTATATTTAATTGTTTTAAATTCGCAGTAAATGTCTTTTTAAATAACCTTAAGGCTATATCTAAGGGTCGACCTTAGATATGACTTCAGAAATTGTAAAACTGGGTAGATGAGGGCGTATTGAATTCGTAGTCAACTCCATTACGACAAAATCTATCAAAAGCCTGAGCAACATATAGGAATGCAGTGAGAGAAACTTTTGTTCCTTCTAGCTATTTGAATTTAGGTTTTAGATTTTGATCTGATCAATAGTTGAATGACTCTCTCTCAAGACATGCTGATGGACTGGGACTATATTTTTTCTTTAATAACCGGCTTTAATCTTTTAAGCAGTATTTTTTCGAACAGTTTTGAAGTTGCGGGGAGCAGAGAGATTAGTCTGTGAGATGAAGCTTCATTTGATGAAGCTTTGATGAAATTTTTTTCGGATTAGTGTGTTCTTTAATTTCTGTTATTATTTCTTTTGGAGTAACGGATCTGATTTCACCTTCCTTCTGGTTAAGATTTCCCCAGTCTAGAATATCTTAATCCTGATACAGCTGGAAAGTGTTTTTAAGATGATCAGCATATCAGAATTATCTTTAATTTTTTAAATCTTTCTCTTAAGTTATTGTATGGCATTATTTAGTATAGTTTTATTAGCTAATGATCTAGTTTAATGCCAGAGTCTTCTCAACCTTCTTTTTTCAGAAATAAGGGCTCTACTTTCTTTGAGGTAGTTGTTACCTTCGATTCTTGAAATAATATTTGGAGTATTACTCCATAAATCGAATTTTTGTTGAGTTTCTCATTAATACTCAATATTTTCAAGTTTTGAGGCATGGTGTGCTCCTTGATCTGTCATTAGTTCACGTCGGTGTATATTTCAAAATAATGTTCAATATTATATTTTCCTTTATATGGAGTAGAGATGTACTGTTTGTGTCATGTTTATCTCGCAATGACAGATGATCTACGCAAGATAGTTTCCATCCAGAATATATTTTTTTTTCTTTTAATAACTTTCCATATCTCAACATCTATATCGCCATATCGATGAATATTTGGAAATGCCGTATCAACACTACATATTCCACTAATGTGTAGTATTAAAATGTGTTTCTTAAATATATCTAGACTTCGAAGTACTCTACAAAATCATAGGATTACATTTATCATTATCCTTTATCTTCTCTCGACTTTACATCTTCACTATGCATGGATGGTCCACTCAGTAGTTAGACCTTCAATGTGCAAAAACATCTTTCGACACAATAATTCTTTAGGGAAAAATCATAAAAGTATTGCTGATGAGCTTTCATTATTGTATCTGTATTATACTCTGAATTCTTCACAATATCTTTAAAGCCCTTATAAAATACCAATTACATTATATTTTGACAAAAATCGCATTTCTAAGAATTGTTCATAGATCGTATAGTCTTTGTAACCTTACCTAATGCCGATGGATAACTGCTATGTTTTTTAATATGTCAAGCGTTTTCTCCGCCAAAATAAAAAAACTGTGACATTTCGTTACCTCATCAACGATCTCATGATTTATCTCATCTTCATCATGATTCATCAAAATTTCTTTTCCCAAAAAACAAACTTCCAACTCAAAATAATCAGATTGTCTAACAAATAACGTTTTGAGTTTTCGTTACTCACCTCTTGAAGAATGTATTTTACCCACAAATCTGTTAAATCTAGGCAAACTATGCAAAGAAAAAAGTTTTAATATTATTAGGTAAAGCAATAGCAATAAACTACAGATGATGGCGTAGCGTTGCATCTCCATTTGTTAATTTTGTGGAACTCATGATGAAGAGTTAAGTAGGGCTTACTATGTAAACATATTCATCATTTGAGGGGACGCTAGTTATAAAGGGCTGATCCATTTTTTTTTAAATTGGTGATCTTGACTTATTTGTTTGACAAATCAAAAACAAGCTTTGTGATATTAGGATGCAATAATGAGCTATTAAAGTGAATTACTTTCAAACATGTTCCCACTCGCCCTACTGGAAAAGTGATATACTGGAAGTATGACTGCTTTGTAGCAATTAAGAAAAGAAATTTTCATTTTTCTATCAAATTCGAGAAAAGATTTGTACCACTACATGGGATTTCTGTGAAACGGGTTGAACGGATTGCAAAATACTGTCTCAATGAGAAGCTATGAGTTCTCGTAAAGATAGTAGTAGAAAACAACAACTTACCAAGCAAAATCACTGATGAATAGTAGCAGATGTTCCATGAACACATAAAGACTTATCCCATGCAAACATTCTCCTTACAGTCAAGCACAGAATATGACTCAAAGATATTTATATGCAGATTTTACTATAGAAACAACTGGTAGTAACTGATCATCCAAACATTAATTTCACTAATTTCAAACATGATCATCCAAGATCTGACATATTCCAGAGATTTGACAACTTCTCCAAAGAATCGAGCCGAGATATTAAACTTCACCAAATTAAAGCTAAAACGTCCTTCAACAGCAAAATATTTTACAACCAAAATTGTCCTAAGAAAATGCTTTTTACAAACTGCAATGATGGGTATCATGTAACTTTTCAATATCATCAGGCAACTATACGTTGAAACATTGAGCAAAAACCCAATAAAACTAGCAGTTTTTGAAATACAATGACATGATCGATTCTGCAATAAAAAATAGGATTTGTGTATTCAGGCAACTGTGCATCTCAATTGTATGTTCTGCCTTCATGTATTTGAATGTATAGAAAGATATGTGAAGGGAAAAGATCTCGCTGTTATTCTTCTGAAATACGTATAGATTATACAGATAACGAACAAAAAGTTCACCGTTATCGTAGTTTATCAGAACATGATACTGCACAGCGTTAACATTCTGAAGCGCTTTTTTTATAATTTCTTACATCTTTATTGAGAACAGTAAAAGGAAAGATAAATACTGATAAAATCAAATGAGGGGTAACTAAACATAATATTGTCTATGGTGTTGTACCAACAGTATACAAAAACCCACTGCTGATGAAGGTTGCAAAAGTCTTGATAATATTATAACTTTTGCGCAAAAGTGGTGGAAATCGAAATTGCTCTTTTTTATAATATATTACACGTTCGAGGATTATCTCTTTGATTTCCTTATAAACATTATTGTTTTTTCATAAGTGTGAGCAATAATGAGCTAGCTCCGAATGGATGTGGACTAAATAATCTGGGGTTATCACGGTGCGGATTTTGAGAACCACTACTTTAACTAACAAGAAATGTGTAATTATCCTGCAATGATATCTACAATTAAATACCACTTAATTTGTTAGAAAAGCTGTTATTTTGCAACAAATCACAGTGTTATAACAAATGTTTCCCATTTCAAAATAATACACTTTTTCATATAATTGAACAAAATTAGTGTTAGATCTAACCTAAATTTAGAAGAGAAATAGAGCAGTTCATGTAATCCTGAGCTTATTCATTAAAATTAAAGGATGACTAACACCAAAATCTACCTTAAACAGTATAATGTGATAATATTAGAAGGTATAAATAAACTAAAAAATCAATTAAATGATGTCTTTTGATGTAATTTCTTTTGTGTTAGAAAGGGTTGATTTTTTTTAAGATTTTATCAAAAAGAAGTGGTTCCGTCCGGGCTCGAACCGGAGACCTTCTGCGTGTAAAGCAGACGTGATAGCCCCTACACCACGGAACCATTGGAAATATAAATTTCGTTCCAAACCAAACCCATGCATTTTAGCCTATTTTATGTTTTCAAATAATTTTTGATATACGCTTCATTGTAACGTCGCTAATAAATTATGCTTCACCGCAACTCATTTTATCAAAATATCTTTAAAAACATCTGTGGGTAATAAACTTAAGAAAGAAAATTCTTGGTTGTAACATTAAAGATTGATTCCGCAAGAAATTTCTCTCTTCATAACTTAACTATTTGTAAAGAAGAAATATTGTGTAAAATAGATTGTTTATATTCTTTGGTCGAAACGTGGATGGTCCAGCAAGTTGTTGGACGAGGTGCGTGTGCTACCTCTACCTGCTACATGCATAAACCTATGTGGTACAGCCCCTCCACCTTCCATTCTTACCAGCATGTAGCATGTGATCAGTGTAAGAAGCGAACTCTTCCGAACAGGACGCGAGAAACACCTATCTCCAGGTCGCCGCCGATTTAGGTTCTCTCACGTGAAACTCACACGCCTTAAGACTTTTTTAAAGGGATTTTTCCTTTTTTTTCCAAAATTAAAAAAGAAATCCTCAAAACTGTTTTTATTTAACTTAGTTTTTTAATAAAATTAATAATTATAAAGTGGACACAATTTCAATTGGACCTTCAACCAATTGACAGCAACACCGATGATGATGATGACTTCTTCCTTCTAGTTCCTCTTGTAGTGGGTTTTATAAAAAGTGATTTGATAAAAAACTGATGATCTTTTAGAACATTTTGATTAATTTTAAGTAGATTAAAAAGAAACATTTGTTTTCCTAGTGTATGATGATGACTTAAAGTTTTTGTTATTTAGTTAATATTTTTTTCGAATATTTTTCTTTTGGACATTTTTTTGAGGAAAAAAGGTAAGTTTCTAAAAATGCGTTTATAAAATGGGTTATCATAACAAAACCAAAATCAAAAAAAAATCGATAAAAGTAAGAATTCGTTGTTATAAACCAACGAAAAAAAGTTACATTATTATGTAAAGTGGATCAAGATAACACTTTAAGAGAACGGACGCGTATAATTTCGAGTTGTAAAAAGAGAGTATTAAAACGGTTCCGTAGCCTCTTCTTCTTAAGGGCTCTTGTTTTTTTGAATTATGCATCGTCGAGGATCGAGAATCGAGTACGCTCTCGGTTTATATCGATTGATTATATTGATACAGAGTTGTTTTTTAACAAAAATTTTAAATTAACTCTCTTTAAAAATTAATTATCAAAAACAATTTGAAGAAAACGAACATTTTTCCTCGAGCTATCTTTCTACAATTTAAAATTTTCGAAATTGACTACGTTAGGTCATCATTTTAAATTTAAACATTTCCAGATGTTTATGATGTATTATATAAAACAATATTTTAGCATTTTGAGGTCGTTTTAGGTAATTATGAGTTAAAATCTTTTTTGTTAATTAAAATTCTTTATATCAAACGTTACTCGATCTTGCTTTTTCATAATTGGAAATTTTTACTTTGATAATTATCAAAATATGCTTTTGGTGTTAACTAATATGAAAATGAAGTCCATTCTTAATAAAAAAAACGTTTTTGTTTGAGAAAAAAGTTAAAATTAAAAAACAAAGTAATTATCTATTGTATTTGTATAATTATCGTAGTTGTAATCATAATTGTGTAGAATTGAATTATTTGGTTTTGTTGGACGAAAATAAACGATTATTAAAGAATAGACAATTCAAGGTTGTTGTTTTGAATAAATTTAAATTTCAGGAAAAAAGACTAAAATGCAAAATACAAAGATAAACTTAAACAAAGTCCTCATATAGCAAACAATATTATTGTGTGTCATTTTTCTGATTGGATAAGGAAGTTTAATAATAGAAATGACCAAACAGAGACGTTCAGATATATTTATGTACATTTTCCATCTTTGATACAAGAATTTTTTATAATAATTGATAATATCCAATATAAAACGTAAAATCTAAAATATAGAATACAGGAAGAAAATCAATAATCGAGGGACAGTTGGTAGTCGTAAAACGGGGTTAATTTTACAATTAACGTGACAATACGATCATATCGAAGCAAACACATTTTACAACTTAATATACGTTGCATGGGTTCCGTCAGAGGCATTAACTTTTTAATCGTTCATTGTAAAAGCTCAACGGATAAAAGGCGACACAATAAATAATAGATATCTTGCGTTATAATAACAGGTTGGTGCAAGTCAATGGTTGATAGATGCCTACGTTCTCGGCTACTACTAAGTATTTATTGTTTCTTCTTGAGACCAAAGCATAACCATCGTCCTCCTCTCTTTCTTTCAATCTATACAGGCACAGGCACACACACTGTCTGCAAGTAATTGAGGCGATCTGTTACAGTAGAACATTCAAAACGACATATGGTCGATGAAATGTGTGCAATGCTATGAAATTAAACGAGAGATCTAAATAGAAAAACAGTAAAGAAAAAATATTAAGTTAACTGTTATTAATCTTATATTATAGTCTTTCAGGATTAATTTAATTTAAAAGTCATTCTAATAAATACACCTTTCAAAATGGTTGGGAATTATTTAAAATCGTCTTAAATAAAATAAAATTCTACAATATTATCTAAAATTGCCTTGGCATCTTTCCGAGATATTTAAAATTATGCCAGGAACTATTTAATAAATTATATTATTACTGCTCTAAAACTGACTGCTCGAAAATGACTTCAAATACTAAAGTATAACTCTGTTTAAAACAACCTGACACCATTCAAAATTGCTTAAAAACGGATACAATCACGTAATCTAAATCTTTTCCCTCTATAATACTTTTAGATCATAATTACTTCTCGAGTTCTACTTTTATTGGTATAAAATATTTTTTTTACATTACATTTTCGGTGTCGCCTTCGAGACAGCGACTTTTCTCCGTAAACATTGAAGTTAAGAAAGCTAAACTTGTTGCTTGAATCTATATTAAACATGTCTCAAGGAGCACAAATTAATTTATGATCATAAGTTGTTCATTTCGAATTTTGATTTTATGGCTAAAAGTTGTTTGGCCTTTGTTTATCTTAAAGCAATGTTTCTCAAAATTCCCAAGAATGTGTGAAAGGTGTATGTTGCTTACTTATAAGTTGTTTTATAGCCATGGATAGCGCAGGAATAAATTCTATGTACAGAAGTACTTTGAAATATATATGTATAAGACAATGCCATAATACAAATTAAAATGACACAAGATTTTACAACACACAAAATAAATACCTAACGTGGAGTGAGACAGGGAGATACAATCTCTCCAAAATTGTTTAACCTTGCCCTCGAGGAAACTTTCAATAGACTATATTGAGACTATATATTGACTTGTTTTGCAAATGAATCGTACCCATCAACTCCAACCTCGAGAAACTACAAGGGATGTTAAGTGAACTTAAAGCAATCCATGAGCATAACAAAAATAAGAGTCATGTTTCAAGAACACATCAGTATAGAAGTTGAAAATGACATTGAAAAATGTACAAGAATACATATACTTGAGCCACACATTGAAATTAGGCATAGAGAACCAGATGGCTGAAATAACTAGAAGAGTCCGGCTAACATGGGCAGCTGCAAGAAAATTGGGATTCATAATTCAAAATCCAAAAATACCTATGCACCTGAAATAGGAGGCAATATGACATGGTAACAAGACAATGTCGATAACTATCAAATCTGCAACAACACTAAAAACAACACAAAGAATAATAGAACGTACCATGCTGGTAATAAGCCTAAGGTATAAAGTGGCAAACAATGAAATTAGAAGATGAACAAAAGTGGAATATATCATAGAAAGAACTGCGAGGGTGAAGTGGAGATGTGTAGCCCATATAGCAAGACAGGAGGAGTTAAAGTGGTCGAAACGGATTTTGAAGGCTGAGAATGTTACAGCGGAACATAGAAGGACCACCCAGGAGATGGGTTGGTGGCATTAAGAAAACAGCTGAGCTGCCAATTGTCTGCAACCAGCACAAGACCGAAATGACTGGAAGATAAAATAAGAAACATATGTCCAGGAGAGATGCTGAGAAAAAAGACTTACTAGTTACATAATGAGTCTCAGCAAGATTTCTGCATCTACACTTGCAGCTATCCTTTCAATCATATATCCATATCTTAGAAAATGTAAAAAGTAGCAAATATTAAGGACAATTTTGTGCTCAAATGTGGTCAAAGAAACTGGCGTATGCACATTTTTCATATATGGAAGTGATTTTCTCACTCATGAAGACAATTTGCACCTGTCTGTATTGTCAAGTCCAACATTGTTAATTCTTATCATATCAAAGCATTTTTTGTTAACCAGCACAAATCAATAATTAATGACTAACTAACTGGTTTTGAAGTATGTCCAGATATAGACAGAAACTGTATCTGGACATTCAATATTCTTGTTTGCAATTGCCACTTTTGATGAATTGTTGAATTTCCGATATATTATCTGTCCCGCAGTAGGATGATGTTTGTAAATAAACACGATGTCACACCATTGAAATAACTTCTACACCATTTATATTGACAGACTTTCCAACAAGTACGCCGATAACATTCTTCATCATTGAGTTCGTCAAAAAAGGTCAAATAGGCATAGCTGCACTGCATTTACACTGCAAATGCAAATACATCGTCACTTTTTTTGAAATGGTTAAGGAATAGTTAACTTCTAGAAATGAGGTTAACTAAGAAGTAGTTTGTCTAGTGCGGATATAAAGGTAAAGGCTTGCCCTTGTGTAGGATAATCAAATCATCTTGTAGCCAAAACTATCAAGAATGAGATGTCATATGTAATGACATCTCATATATACAATGTCATATTTGTAGCAAATTTTGGTAGGAATTTCGTTACAAGACATGACCCCAATTTTGAAGTTTCATAAAAAACAGGCCTATTGATATGAATTTATAAGTTCACCAATATAGCAACATCACATATGTTCTTCTAGGACTGCAGGTTTTTTTCTAATTGTACACCTA